AGAATGATTGATCATGCTGAAAAAATGGGGATGCTGATTGTTTTGGTGGTTTTCTTTCTATGATCAAAAGAGTTTCTTTATAACATGTAACCACAAAAGTTTCAGTGTAGCCATGGAAATGAATTGTTAAAGATTTGCCTCAATGCCCATACTGATGTAATCTCACTGCCTGGAAACTGTATAAATAAAGAATTGCTGAAGTTTTTAGCAGGAGATACTTGCACCAGCTAGAGTGTCAGTGTCTGCCTCAATTGCTCATTTCACCAATGCTGCCTCATTCTTTGGGAAAAAGACCCCTGACTGGCCACCTGTCAGAGCTAGACTCTGACATATGGCGTGGTCTACGACATTGTTTGATTTAATTATTTTTAAAATGTATTTTGTTTATTTATGCATGTAAGGCCAGAGGTGCAGGGTTGAGAGGGTTCATCAGAGGTGGTATGGGGAACAGAACAGGCAGAACTACTGAAATACACTGGGGGGCTGACAAGACAGGAGAGGTCTGCTGCGCCATGTGGGTTAGTACCGTGGCCAGGGACTGAACTTTCTGCAGCGGCTGGTGATAGTTTATAGTGCTGAGCCTCAACCCTTATGTCATCAGGAAAGTCCTACCTGCCTATTATTTTTTATTGAGTTTTTGTTTTTCTATTTGTTGAGTTGTAAGAGTTAATGGTAACATTTTAAAAGAAGACATTTTTTCTCATTTCTTGCATAGGTTGCTGCTTTTGGCTTAGATCACAGAAACAAATAGTCTGGACATGCTTTATTATGTAACTCAAAGTTATAAATTATAATGTTACTGGGTAACACAATAAAAAAGACTTGCAAAATTATCTTTTGAGAACCCACATGTATATATTTGTCCTTGAATATCACGGCTGTTTCCTATATGTGATCACCATTTTTTTTCTCCACTGAGAGAACCCACATCAAGACCCCAGCTGCTTCCAGTAACCAAATCTATAACTGTGAGGCTAGGGAAATTTTATATATATTATTATAAAAAGACATTCAGAATCAGTATTGCATATTATACAAATATCCAATAAATAAACACAGTGCCATAAATCAGTCAGGTGATTCTGTGAACGTTGGGGAGATTAACGTTGCATCAACACAGCATTCCACATACAAAGGACATATCCATAATTAGTAATCTGTACAACAGATGTTATCAACACAAAGGTAAAGCACTGGAAAACTATCAATTTAATTCTGTCACAAATTTTTGCCTAAAAATAAAATTTTATCTATATATCAAGAAGGAATAACACAGTTTACCTTCTGACCTATGTAAAAAATATTCAACAAACCCCCCCCAAAAAAAAATAGCCTAGGTATTTACAGTGCCAGTGAAATAAATTTAATAAATACTTGTATCTGTTCAAAATTGGTGAATGAGCTATATCTATGATCTTTATATTATAGATTATTTAAGAAAAGTGAGTATATCAACTATTTAGATATTTTCCCTATGCACCTATTTTGAAAAACATGGGGTATATTCAGAATATTAATTTGACAGAATATTTAGCTGCACTTCTAAACTGTCCACTAATTAATCATTACTCTTCTTCTAATAAAGTTCTTCAATGGGAACCCCATGTCACAAATGAAACCCCAATCCATTAAATTGCTCAGTTAGGAAACCAGGGACCACCATGACAAATCCCAAATCAGGTTATCAACATGTGTCATAAATAATACTTCCAAATGTAGTTTGAATCTATCCTTTCTCTACCACCTTTCTTCAAGTCAACCCTGGCTAATCTCTGCTCCCACTCTTCCCTCCTACAGTGACTTTTCTTCGTAGTGGTGAAACAATCTTCTAAAATTGACAGATTTGATTATGTCACTCCCTTGCTGAAAATTTTGCAATACCTTCCACTGCACTTGAAATGTAAGCACAAATCTTTTTCAAGGTCTAGCTGAAATGGTATTTCCTCAGATAAATTTCCTTTGACTCACTCTTTAACTGGTATGTCTTATATGCTTTTCTGTGCACTCACAGCATTTTCCCAATGTATATTATAGTTGTTTTCTAAACCATGTCCTTGAGGGCAAGGGCTATATTTTCTTTGTGAAAGCCCATTGGCTGATTCTGTGTCAAGTATATAATAATAACTAAATTTGCTGAAGCACTGAAAGATTAATTTAATGATTACATCCAGCTAGCCCTGTATTATAAATGTGTTATCAAGGCTAGCCAGCCCAGCTAGTTAGGGCCTTGACACTAACTATAGAGAGTGTCTATGTGTCGAACAAATGACAGAAGAGGGCCTATCGAATCATGACTCAGGGTCCATCAGAGCTGATCTCATCCTGCCTTGTATTACAGTGACTTGACTTTAATCTCTCTCTGAGCCAGTAGAACACTTTAATTTTTCATCATATTCATATCCATGCCCCATATGCATGGTATGAATTACATATTGGTCCACATTTCTGTTAAATATATAATATATATTAATTCAAAAATAAATTATTATAAAGTACAAGTGAAATTAGATTGCAAAATATCATCAAAGTTAGCATAGGATTCAATGGAATATTAAATTTACTTTAACTCTTCCTGTATTTAAGGCACTGGAAGATGCATTAGGAATTTAACAATGACTAAAACAGTTTCCTTCCTGTATGTCAATGAAGTTTATCAAGAGAAATGAATGCTCATCAGTGACCTTGGTATGATGATGACACAGAAAAAATTATGAATGACTCATAATCTTATTAGGACCAAAAGACCCACACTTCTCTATAGGGACTTCGCAGAAATCTACTTTCAGGTACTTGAAGTTCATTCTAATTTTTCCCTGATTCTCCTCTTCTCAGAAGATCAAGCCCATGTGTAGCACCATCTGTCAAATACTGGGAACTATCCTTTCATTGGATTGTTGCCTGAGGATTCCTGGTTGACTAATGCTCATATGTCCACTCTCCATATCCCAGGCCACTTGTGTATCACCCCAGGCTTAGCTGAAAACACAGTTCAGACTAAAGGAAACCAGTGACAGGGGCCTTAGTACAAATGATAGAGATCAAAAAGTGTGTACCTTTTAAAACTGAGAAGTTTTGATTATTGATCCCCTACAGCCTTCAAGTGCCTTGCTGAGCAGCTAGAGGTCACAGATGACTCAGCTAAGGACGGCTTGCTAATGGATAGTAATGCTTTGCTGAGTGCTCAAAGCAAAGCCATAGAACGGTGCTGAATAACTGTTTGGTGAATTGTAGAACTAGCTATACATTATTCATATGGTATATATCTTTATACTAAAAATACTGAAATGATCACTTTGTTCACTTTAAAGCACTCGAAAATATGATTTTAGTAAAGGTACAGCATAGAAAATCTATGATCAGCTACTGTGGTCACAGAAACAAATGATTTACATTTGCTTCAGACTTTATTGATTTTAAAGTATTTGAGGTTAATTATGAGGGTTCATTGGCTATTTTCATCACATTACAAACAGTTATGAAGCCTGAAACAATCTATAGAAAATAATACTACAAATAATATGCATATATAGCTCAAATTGGGGGTGGGGGCAAACAATTTATGCCTGCTACTATTCTAAGCACTTTATGAAGATTGACTGATTTAGTCCTCAAAACACTTGAACAGTATATTTTTTAAAAAGAATGCCTATTGAGGTAACAATGATTTACAATACTGCTTATGTTTTTCGGTATAGATTCACAACTCTACAACTGTATGTTATTCAGCTATTTTTTTTAGAAAAAAATCTTTAAACATCTTGCTCACTTTTTCACAATATAGGATTTCTAGATGAAAGTACTACTGTTATCTGCATTTGTACATGAGAAAAATTAAGCTAAGAGAAGTTAAACAATTTGCCTAAGGTCATACGGCTAATTGGCAGCAGAAATAGGGGTTCAATATTAGGCACTTCGGTTCTGGAATGTGCACTCTTACTCAGCAGTTCTGCTGCTCACCTACTGCCAATATTAGTTAAATATTTAATTCTCATAACATCTATGGGACAGAAGCTACCACTGAGATGTCTATTTTGAGGATTTGTTGAACCAACTTTGTCCTGCTATTAAGTAGATGAACCAGCCTCTTATAATTCAGTCCTAGCTGACTCTTGGGTGTGAGATCTTGAACACCACTCATTACTGCCTTCCAGCGAAGGTAGTGTGGTTATTTTAATTGCACAGAACATTAGAGATTAAATAGATATTCGGGGAAAGAAAAGATTTACTACAAGAGCATAATAACTATCTAGTCATAATCTAAATATTTAAAATCTTCTAAAATATTTAAAATGCTGATAATACAACTATTAGATTTTTCTAAAATGTTTGAATTACTGTAAAGCTAATATTAAAAGTCATCATTCTGAAGAGCAGAGCTCAAAGGACTATTCTAAAAAATTAGTATAATGACTCATTTTACTGCTTATGTGGTTTTCAAGGGTAACTGAAATTACCCCAAGAAATTTGTGAACATTACCAAAAAAAGTAAAATCTGCACTTATTTTGACTATCCCAAGTATAAATTACTATGTAGTACTTGTTGGATATAACATATGAAGAATATAATAAAATCAAAACAAATCACAACAGTGTTATCAAAACATAATTGCTTTTATCAGGATAGACTATTCTAGTTATTGCCATTCACATTAATATTTCACTACATGAGAATGGTTACCATTTATAAATGACAAAATAGAAAGTATTAGAATGCAAATAATTAAGTAATGATGATCTGCTAAGATTAAAATTTTATAGGGATATGATTATCAATGTTACTTCTAAGGCCATTGCTACATAAATCTGTCCTTACCATGCTGAATTACTATTTAGAGTATTGAGTTCTCTTACCCACTGTAAAAATCACTATCACAGGGTTTCAAATCTTTCGGTAGCTCTGACTGCTAGGGGGAAAGGAGAGTACACTGAATGTGGACTGTGATACAAATATTAGTTAAGTAGTCTGTCACTAGGATCCTCCTGTAAGATGTTGGCATTACCTTTAGGCCCTTTGAAGAGTTTGATTTCCACTACAGTCTCCAAAATAGGTCGTCTTCTACGCACGTAGAGCCGGACAATAGACCCCGCTTCCTTGAGGGCTTCCACCGCTTTACTGTGGGAAACCTCTGACACATCGACCTCATTCACCCGCAAGATACAGTCATTGACCCTGAAAGGAAGGTAAAGTGGGGAAGGTCAGCAGCAGGTAGGAACACTTCTCAAATATTATCATCATCTATTGTTGACAAGAGGAAGTTAACAATGGAATCACCCTTAAAATGCTTAAATATGGAAGAAACACTTCAAATGAAGGAAATCAAGAAAACTTGATTTCTTAGCTCTTTCAACTTTCTCTTCAATACCACTGACAGGAAACAGAAAAAGAAAACAGTCTAGGAGTAGGGGTAAAAGAACCAGAATTCTGTGGGGATAGTTGGCCAGGTACCACAAGGTATACTCCTCTCTCTCAGGCATGCCCACCTCATGATGAGAGAATACAAAGTGGCCTTCCACAGACCACCAGAACTGAAAATTACTCGATCACTGCTTATCTAACTTCACCAAATTTGCACATTGTAATGCCAATAAAAATCTGACTGACTTCTAGTCTAATTTGAAGCTCAGGCCTGCCTGTGTACTATCCTGCCTATTCGTTGTATATTAATCCTTTCTATCTCTCAGCATCTGGAAATGATTCAAACTCTTCTTGGGTATGTGTCTTCAGGGGTACAGTCCTAAAGTCAAAAAACAAACAAAACCTCTTCTTTGTTCTAGCTCCACCAGATTTCTGTTCCTTGTTTAATACTATAATACTGGTTAGGACACATGGGGAATTAACTACAGTCCATTCTGACTGGAATTGCATCACCCATAGAATAATTAGAAACACATATGTAACAGGACACATCTGTTACACCATTATTACGACTGATTGTAACTGATTTGAACAGAAGGTTAAATTTGAAGCGCTCTCAGAAGTTATTATGGATTATCAAGGCATAGCAAATGTAACTTTAGAGGTTAATTTTTCTTAAATCATTAACATACCCATTATTGAATGTATTCCTTTTACTGAAAAATAGAACAATGTAGAAAGAAGATGTGACTTGATTATCTAATATTAACCTGCTAGCTTTCTGAAATATTGTTTTACAACCCTTTGTTTTTCTCTCTCAAATTCATCTAACAATATTGTAGATACTGAAGCTCAAAATATTTTCAAAATATTCACAGAAAATTTTAGACAATCTTCATTGTATTCATTTATTTTGAAAATTAAGACAAGTTCTACAATAAACCTTACTTTCCCACTTTTCTTTCTTTTCAGATTTATTATTTTATTGTTCTGTAGAAGATTTGGGGTCTAGGTCACAGACATAGGGGGTAAGAAAATTCATCAGGTACAAGTGTGAGGCATAGAACAAGAAGATCTTCTGAAATACACTGCTGAGGGAAGCAACAAGCAAGACAGGAAAGGTTTGCTGTACCATACATGGGTTGGTTTGCTGCCAGTAGATTGAACTCAGGCTGTGGTGGTGATAGCACTGAGACTTAACCCTTAGGCCAGTAGGGCAACCCCCTTTTGACATTTTTCATTGGAATGAAAAATTTCACTTTTCCATAAAACTTCTAAAGTAATTTATAGTTATATTGACATTGATTGGAAGTCTTTTTATATCCTTGATAACAATTAATGATAATATCGTAATTATCATTAATTATTCTCAATATTCTTAAGTTTGAGACTAGAGAGATTTTTCCCTCTGATTTTGCACTTACATTCTAGTGATCCACATATAAGCCCTTAACACACACCCAGGTTTAGTGTTTAGGCTCTTTATCTAAAGCTGTTGGCATCTCAGATAGAGAATAGCTATGATCTCGGGTCTTATTTCAATTTGGGCTTTTTCCACTTAGTTCAACATACATGTAATGTGATAGACAATATTATGTTGCTGTGCACATCAATTTGAAATTATAAGGTGGTAATGGAAATGTTATACAAAAAGTATGGGAAGAATTTTCTCATTTTTTGGTCCATGAGTTTTCAATACCTATTCAAGGAGCTAAGTTATAGGATCTCTTGTTTCAATGAGAATGCTGATTAGCTTCAAAATGCTGAGATGGAACATTACACTTACCAAGATTCTATGGTGTCATTATGATAGATGTTATGGTTTTAATAGGTTTACAAACACATTTCCTTTCTGTTTAAAAAAAATAAAATCCTGGTAAACTGCCAATTAAAATAGCTTTGAGAATATACACATCATGAATGCCAGCCACCCTGAAGCAGCTGGTCCTTTCAGAGTGGGCAATTTTGTTATCTAATAATCCCAAAACACATTCTTTATCATCACCCCCTGCTCAGAATACTAATCATATCTTAAAACACTGCCTTCTGTACAAGGGAGAGGCTGACATTAAAAAGAAATATTCTTTTCAAACACACCTACTTTTTTCCATTGTTTATAGTAGAATCCTTAATTGTTAATTGCTGTGGAGAGAAAATCATAGCCTAAATCAGATATGTGTTTTCTTTTTCTCCTTGAACATGGGGGTGAAGCAGACAGCTTTACTAAATTAAATCAGCAGTCAGAAAGGTAGGGTACAAGTCCGAGTTGGTTATCAGCTGTGTGACCACAGTCAAGTCATTTCATCTCTTTGAACACCAGCTTCCTATAAAAAGAAAATTATTTTGCCCAGAGTTATGAGAGCTGTAATCAGATGGATAATATATATGGCCATCAGTGTAAACTCTAAGTCTGGATAGGCTATTCAAAGACGCTAGACTCACAAATTTGTCAAAAGATGGAAAGGATGGAAATTGAAATTTTTAGAGGGCTTGCCTTGTACCATATCACTGTAGCTGTTTCACTTTTCACTCATACTTAATTTATTACATATTGATGCTCATTTTATAGACAAAATTTAACTGATAGGATAACAGTATTGCTGAAGGCAGGGGTATAATTTCAACTTGGTTTTACCTTTTTATGGAGATTTCTATTGATGCAAAATTATGTAGAGTTTATTGTTTTCCATTTTTTTAAATGGGGGTGTAAAGGGGAAAATTATATTCAAGTTCTCAAAAATAGACAGGAAATATTAAGTCAAAATAGGACACTAAATTTCCCTTCCTCCCCATCATTTGAAATAGCATTTAGCTAGCCATAGCTATTTAAAATTAATTTGCTCTCTCGAGCAGAAGATAACCTTTGTGAGTAAAGCCACAACTTGTATTCATTTTGTCATATATGAGAATATTACTAGTTTCACACTCAATGATAAGTTCCAGTAAAAAAGTGGAGTCCCTGTCACATTCTGAGCCATTATGTTAGCATCTTCACACATAACCCTCTCCAGGCTGCACATCTAATTAAGTTTATGGGTTCACTTTTTCAGTGCTTGCTACTTCAGATCTAATATAGTATTCATTTTGTGAACAGAATTCTCCATGAAATGAAAAGGTTAATTTTAAACTTCTAGACTTGTTTCCTTTTGTTAGTTTCATACATTTCTACTTTCTGGTTGAAAATACCTTAAAAATAATAAGGAGATTGCATCATTCCCGTGTCCATAAGATCACATCTAGATGATGCACTAAGCAATTAAATTTCAGAAACATGATATTGCATTACCATAAAGTTAAGTAATATTTAGCAAGGAATTATTTCTCCTATTTTGAAGATAAAATTTAAAATAATTTGTGTATCATATACTCTCATAGACACTAAAGTATGTTCTATCATAAAATAAGATTTGTGATTTTATACATTTTTTCATTAATGTTAATTCATTGAAAATGATTGTCAAATATTAGTGTTAAAATTTTTTAAAAAATCTTATTCTTTATGAATTAAAAATACTAGAAGGAAAGATAAAGTTTTAGCTGTGATTTTTGGGGAAGTAGAAATCATATTTTTTTCTCAAAAAGCATATTTACACTTTTGTATTTCTTTCCAAAGTTCTATAGTGGGTATATATCACAGAAAATAATCTATGAACAGGGTTCTAGAGGTTTGGCCATACCCAGATATATTAAGGATTATGTCCCAGCGGTAAAACGTAGGTGCTTTGTGGTATTGGAGAAGCAACATGAAATCTAGAAGCCTCAGTTTCTTTATCTGAAAACAGGGATAATCAGATTGCTCTGTGGATTAAATATAATAATGCATGTGAAGTACTCCACATAATGCATGACAAGCAGTGACATCTTATAGTTATATAAAAGACATAAAGAATATTTATGTACAAAGATGCTATGACATGAAGTGACTGCAGTGGAACAAATAGTAAAGGGAGAAAAAAGAAGAGAGAACCATAGTCAGACCACTGAAAGAACTTTTGAAATTTCTGATGAGAGAGTAAGTGACAAGATAAATGAGATATGCGAGAGAAAAATGTGAAAATGACTTGTGGTAAGTCATTTTATGGAGGCTGAGATAATTCTCTTTTCATGTTACCCACACCCCTGCCTCCAAGAAGTTAATTGATCTCATACAAACTATAATGGAAGCCTTAATGAAAGTTTCAAAAGTTCAGCACACTGGCAGATTTCCCAACTCATGCCTACTTGACTTTGGCCCACTCCACAGTTCTAATCACACCTAGCCACACCCAGACCTAGTTTATCCTTGCTGCAAAAGTAGGGTTTAGATTACAGGATTGGAAAATTAATTTTGCAGCAGGTTTGGTTATGCATGGGTGTTCCCTAATTTTGTCTTAATCTTTTATTATCTCAATTTAGTACTACTATTTTTGGTCAAACACATGAATTAATTACAAAAGAAGGGCTACATCATGGCTACCCAACCAATACTGAATATCCTGGATATAACAATATTACCAAATGTAATGTGCGGGGTAATGTACTGCATACACTTAACAGAGTACAATCACTTAAAACCATCAGAATCATTTTTTTTTTGAGGTATAACTCCAAAGATTTTATGTAAACTATAATGAAACCCGAGTCACTGCCACTAGAGGTAGGTTAACAACAAATAACAGATGTTTAAAACTTTACTAAAGATAGATAAGTATTTTTATACTAGCAATCAGAGAAAAGGAAAACAAACAATATAACATGTGTACTACACACACAGATAGACTTTGACCAGATTGATTTCAAATCATTCTGGCATTTTCTAGATCAACTTGATAAAA